AGTTTGAGTGGGAGATCTTTCATGTACAAAGTAAAAAACCTTTATTAATTTGCCCTAAGATTTTAAGCCAAATGTTTAAGTTCATTTGTTTTCACTCCTTCCTGTTTAAAGTCAAGTATTGGCAGCTGTTAATTTTTCTCTGGGTATAGCTTTTGATGTAATGTAATCATTACACTATTTCTGAATTGTCAGTTGCCTTTTTTAAAATTCCAATTTGCTCCATCTCATTCTTGCTGTTGAACCTTACCTGGTATCTGATAGCAGACCCAACTAATACATTTTGCCAACCACATTGCAGATAATGTTCTAAGCTTCTTACAAATGTCAGCTCATCTGGTTCTCACAAAGCCCCTACAAGGTATGCCCTATGGTTTATATCTAGATGTCTCCTTAAAGTCTCATGAGATCGCAGGCAGGACCTCTAGAAGGTGACTGGGGTCTTACAGCCGACTTGCTACTAGGAGGTGGGATCCAGGCTGAGGAGGCCGTCACTGTGGTGTGACCTGAAGGTTGTATCTCCCTTCCCCGATCCTCCCTTGACTCTCTCTCTGCTCCCTGATCGCCATGACATGAGCAGCTGTTCCTGTGCCATGTCCCTGTGCCGTGCCATCTTGCTTTGGAACTAGCTGACCCTGGACTGAAGTGTGAACCAACATAAACCTCCCCTCCCTTAAATTGTGTGTGTGTTATTTTGTCCCAGTGATGAAGAAAGTGACTAAGACAACTATCAGTACCACCATTTCATAGATGAGGAAACTGAGGCCCAGAGTGCACACAGTTGCTGAGATCTGAAATGGATGGCTGGCAAGTCTCAAGTACTTTGCACTTCTTTCTCTGTGTGACAGCGAAGGCCAGCCCAGAAGCAACTTGCCCCTGAGAAGGCCACAGAACACAGCAAAAGACCCGGGGAAGGCTTGTGCTGCCCGACACCTGATGCTCAGGCTCTGAGACACCCAGTTCCTATGGCAGAATGACTTCCAGGGGGCAGACTTCTCATCCATGGCAGCTGTGTGCAGCAAGGCATGCCGAACACTGTCCCCAAACCCAGAGTACCTGTCTGCCCTCTGGGCCTGGATTGGTTTGGGCCCACACTAAGGGGAGAGCAGGAGTCCTATAAGTTGGGCCACACGGAACAATAATATTCCATTTATCCTTTGCTGTTTGTTTGATGTCTCGAAACCAAAAGAGCTCAGTCAGAGTCTCCACTGCCCCCATGATCTTTGCCAACTTCTTAAATGTCCAGGGTTTTCGCTGTTTCCATCTTAGCACCATATCACTTGGCTTTGGCTCCAAGGGCTCCTGGGTTTTCACTGTGGACATGGTTGTGTCGGTTACACTTCCGCATAAGCTGTCTCCTTGAGTCCATGCAGCAGGTCAGAAGCCACCCACAACAGCATCTCCAGAGCAGTACAAGCCTCAACCTGCACACTCACAGTGGCTTTCTGGTTTATACCACTTCTCTGAAAACGTCGCGCCCTTCAGGTGGACACACAGTCACTCCGAGGCCCCTTCCCACTCACCGCTGCTCTCCAAGATGCTATCTGGGTGATGTCGAGGGGAGAGGCTGGGGGGAGGGACGTAGGGTCTTTGGCGTGTCCCTTCTGAGCTGCTGGGATGGTCATGAGGCGGGTGACTACAAGGGTAACTTTAGGAGGCCTTGGAGGGGGCTGGAATCTGCAGCCTGGTTCAAGGCCTTTGTTCCCTCAGCCCTGCCCATGATGGCCTCACAGTCTACACCCAGGTGCCTGTTAGTCTTGACGCTCAGCACCGTCATGTCCCTCCCATGGGGGGCTCCTAGACACCACCCAGAGGACCCAGGAAACAAGGATTCCATGTCAGCTGCAGCTCTACAGCCACATCCCTCAGGCCCTGCAGAACCACCATGGAAGGTCTCCCCCAAGCCCCAAGCCCTCTGCACTGGAATTCTCCATTGGCTTGCTTGACAGACACAGACCAAGGACACAGAAAGCACAGCACAGGGGTCCCGCCTTGTGTCCCTGGGGTGGCTTGTGTCTCTCCCTTCTTCTCTCCCTTCTTCTCCTACTCTCCAAGGTCAGATGTGATGAGCTGCCCCTTCTATCCTTCTCCTGGACAGGGACTTGCTACACTTTTCCTTTTCCTTCTGTGATACTATAGGAAGAGCATTTTAGTCTCTAAACGATACGTAGAGCGAGAGTACAGAGCAGCTCATTTAGTCTCATCTTCACTGCAGCTCAGCCCAGTGGGTGACAACATCCCCACTTTACAGATGAGGAATGGTACTTTACAGATCCTTTAAAGATACTTTACAGATACTTTAAATGATACTTTACAGATGAGGAAAATGATAACATTTCCCGGGTTGTAGAGTAAGTTATTAACTGGGCAAAAACCTGCACCGTGCTTTCTTCTTTAAGGGTAGAAAGCTTCATGCCTTTGTGTATAAAACTGAGGTCCCATCCACCTGTAGGAGAGACCTGCCAGGAACACCTGGGTAGGGGACCAAAGGCAGGGGTGGCCTCTGTGGAGCTGAAGAGAAAGCAGTAAGGGACTCATTACGTACAAACGATAGAGCAGAAGTCCTTTTTCTCTTGTGTCAAGAGTCAGAGGGATCTGAAGGCAAACTGGAGTGATTTCTTTCTTCCATTGAGTGTTTAAAAAATAAAGTAAAAGAAAGCCTCAGGGGCCACAGTGTTTATCAGCCTGGGTGGGCATGGTCATTTCCAGGAGCAATATCCCCAGAAATGTGCCCTATGGACCTAGTGGGTCTGTGTTAATTTTTTCTAAATGCAAATCTCAGCTTCAAATTCAGCCTTGTTTGGAATTTTAAAGGGCTCCAGGTTGTTTAAAGGTTGAGTGAAATTCCTAAGCCTGCTAACTGGTCACAGTCTACTAACTCATAATTAGCACGAGACCACTGTATTGTGTAAATGCCACTCGGCATTCAGCAATGACTAACTGCTCCATTTCAGATGTTTACTTAAGAGGGGGGCTTCCATCCACAATCAATGCTTCTGGGAATTTCACCTATTTAATTCTGAGAGATAAGACAGTGAGTGAGGTCTCAAGTCTCCCATTCCTCTCCCTCTTCCATCCTCCCAATCCCAGCCACCAAATCCCTTCACACTGTGGGTGACTCAGGTCTGAGCTTTCTCTGGAGACTGAGTGCACAACCTTGAGAAAGTCACTTCTGCACCCCAAGCTTGAGTCCTCTGCTGAGAACTGGGAGAACACTGAGCTGAGCAATGACGAAGGTCCTTTCTAGCTGTGTGGTTTAAGGACTGGTAGAGATGAGACATCTTCTGCCTCATGAAATTCAAACATATTTATTACTTAGTCCAAACCACAGCATGAGCCAGACTCCAAGCAGACAGTGCTAGCAGTTGTTTTCGTGTTACCTGTCTTTTATTGCAATGAACAAGTAAAAAGAGGCAGCTTGTGCAAGATCCAGGTTTAAAGACATTTAGGGAGAAAAATGGGCAGTGGCCAACAGCATGGTCAGAAAGTAAAACTTGTCAGCAAACATGCCTGGCTAATATGTGTGCACAACAGTCTTATCCACTACACTTTCATTTTTTAGGGAGAATATGAGAAATATTTGGGGGCCAAATGAGCCACATGTAATAGCTGAAATGGCTGCTATATGGATGGATATGTAAATGCCAAGAAGGCCAACTTGTGGGGAATGGACAGAACTCGGCAGGCTTTTGGACAGTGAGCTGGACGAGCGCATGTGGAGGCACTGCAGGGACTGGCCTGCCTGCCTGTGAGGAGCAGGGCTCAGAAGTGGCTCTGGGTGGCAGAAACACCTGTCTGATATGGGGTGAGGCCCCAGCTGAGCCCTGTCTCTCATTGTCTCTGGGCCTGGCCCATCTGTCTCCACTGCACAGTGCTTTATTTTCCCCCTCGAGATGCCTTCTTGCATCTCTCTACATCCAATTCACGTCTTCAAAGCCTCACTTTCATCTGTGCCGATGGCTTGGCCTCCTTCATCCAGCAGTGACCACAGGATGCAGACTCGATTTTCAGGGGTTCTGCACCTCAAGAGAGCAGAGGCCAGGCTTTGCTCCTCCCCGACCCCACTTCCAGGCCTGAAGCCCTTGGAGGGCAGGGCCCCTGTGGCTCCTTCGACGCCCGATAGTGGCTGGTGCACAGCAGACACCCAGCCTCTGACAAAGTGATAAGCTACAGATCAGTAATGACAGACACGTCTGGAAGACCACGTTTATTTGGAAATGCATCCCAGCCACCCCCTGTCCTAAACGCTTCTTTGGATGATCTAAGACTTGGTTATCCTGGCAAGTGTGATTGTGTTTAAGGGCCAGCTTGCCCCTCTTGGGTCTCACCTGAGCTATAGTACTCTCTCGCCTTTATAGGGTACCTGCCCCTGTGACATCCAGAAGCCATGGTTTCTCATAGCAACAGTTGGATCTGGTACCCCACCCAACCACCCACCCAGTTCTTTGCACCCTAAGTTCACCAGGCCTTGTAAACAAAAGCATTAAAAAATCTCTGTACATTCTCCAGATGACAGTGTACATAAGGCTCTTGCCAGGACCTCAGGTAATAAACAATGAGCCTCCAGGGCAGGAGGAGGGCAAAGCTGGGGGCCTCGCTGCACCCAGGCCATCCTCAGTTTCCCTAGGGTGACTCCCCGCTTCACACAGGGACCTACCCCCAGCTAGCCCCGTAGCCTTTGTTCCGGGCCATCTCCAAGGACATGCGTCCCCCGGAACCGCAGTGTGTCTGCGCACCCGGACCCCGCTGTACGTGTCTGTACGTGTCGTGCGGGCCGAGGGGACCTGCGCGGCCCGGGCGGCGGAGGGAGTGAGGGTGGGTGGGGAGCGGGGTCCCGCGGAGCGGCCCAAGTCTCGTCTCGCGGTGCTGGGCTCGGACCCGGGCGCCCCGCGCCGACAAAGGCGGGCGGGAGGAGGGGCGCGGGAGGCGGGGACGCGCGGAGCCGAAAGGAGCCGCGCCGCGAGCGCCGCCCCCGCCGCTGTCCTTTGTGTGCGCGGCGCGGCGCGGCGCCGGGCCGCCCGGTCCGGTCCCCTCCGCGATGGCCACGCCGGCGGCCGTCAACCCTCCGGGTGAGTGTCGGGCCGGGCCGGGAACGCTGTCACCGCGCGGCCCGGCCGGGGCGCTTCAGTCCCGGCCCTGGGTGTCGCGAGCCGGTGCCTTCTCTGAATGGAGGCCGGGCCGGGCCCCGCGGTCCCCGACACCACCTTGGCCTCCCGCGCCTCGCGCCGCCTACCGGGCCCGAGTGTCCGCGGGTCCCGCGTGACAGAAGCAGGGAAAAGTTTGGGGCCAGGTCAACAGGGTGGAATCGGGCTCTCCCCGCGCTGTCCTCAGCGCCCTCGCCGCTGTCACTCCTGTCCCGGGGAGCAGGAGCCTCCCTGCCCTGCCCACCCATCGCCCGTGTCCCCGGGCCACCTGTCCAAAGGGTGCCCACTGGGCAGATTTTTGAAAATGGAGATTGATGCAGAAGTGGGAGAATGTTCCCCTGCTTTGCAAGTGTGGCAGGAAATTCTGTTCTACTTGGGAAAGTTCCCTGTCGTGGGCAGGACTTCTGCAGGGTGTCCCAATGGGATGCCAGACTGCTGCCAGGTTTGGGGTTGTGTTGTGACTGGCCTGGATAGGGTGGGTTGTTGGGTCCCTGCATGGGTGAGGGGGGACAATCCTAGAGATCAGCCCGCTGGAAGTTCTCAGTAGGGGAGCGAGGCCATGTGTACAGGGGGAGGCGGTAGGTGAAGAGCCATATGCTGAGCAGAGAAAAGTGTCATTGGAGAGTGAGGAGGGAAGAATCTCCTGTGTCTAGGGGCGGCCAGGAGAGGCTTTGGGGACTGGACACTTGAGTGTGACCTCACAGAACCAGAAGGGTTGAATACACAGGCCTGGGGGTGAGGGAACTGGGGGCCTGTTCACCATGTTCTTGTTCCGAGCATGGACGGAGGTCGGAGCGTGGTTGGTGCACTTGGGATGGGAGAGGGAACCGAGGGACCCGGTAGTGCCGAGTTGTGTGGATGTGGCCAGGCCTGGAAGGACAAGGTAAGAACCATGGACTTTCTCACCTAATGTTAAGAGTGAGTCCTCAGTGGTATTGAAGAGGGAAGTCACACCATCCCTGTTTTTCTGGGAGTTTAGTGTGTCAGCCACATCTAGGTAACATGAAAAGAAGGAAGGTAGAAGTGGAGGTAGGGAGGCCAGGTCACACAGAGGCAGGTGTGGGAGTCAGACTTAGTGGCAGTGGCAGGATTACAAGGGAGGGTGTACTGCTGCGCAGGTGAAGGACTTCCAACTTGGCACTGCTTGGATTTGGTGTATGGGTGAAGGAAGAGGCCAGGGAGACTCAGAGGCGGGTGCCTTTAGAGTTAGAGGTGGAGAGCCTGTGCAGTCTCCAGGAAGGAGGCCCAGGGAAGAGGTTGGAGTCCCAGAGGGAGAGACAAGAAGCCCCCTGTCAGGAACACCAGGTGGAATGGCGTTCAGTGCATAGCCGGCTAGTTTGCTTTGCTTTTGAAGCAATTTCAACCTACCCAGCTTCTTCGAAATCAATAGAAAATGGATGGACTAAAATGTAATGAAATTAGAAAAAGCAAAAGACATTTAGTGAAGATATTTAGTCCAATACAGGCTTATATTGGGTAAAGGAATACAATCTGAGGCAATTTACATAATTCATGTGCCACTGTGTCAATAGTGAACACTGTTTTGTCCATTATGTTCCCTGAGTTGTGTGGAGTACAGACGGGGCAGCTGCTTGGTGGTGCTGAGCACACTGATACCTGTGCCTGGGTTCCAGGGACTCACGGGTGGACCCCAGGTATCCTGTGCATGGTTGGTAACACCTGACCAGCTTGACAGACAATATCTGGGTCTGCTCTCTGTTGACAGAGGTACCAGAGATCTTAAGCTTGGTGAAATTTTCTCCAAATTCCTTGAGGTGAAGCTTTTCAGTTATTCATCATCATCATCATCATCATTTTCTGTACTGGTCCGTTGTGGTCACATGAGCATCTGTATGGGGTGTTGTTCTTGCCCGGTGAAAGTCTCCGGCTTTTTTGGGAAAAAGTGTTTATTCTTAAGGGATATGGCCAAAGATTTGACCAAAAGAGAGATTTCAGAGTCTATGAGCAGTTGACAGCCACAGAGATAGCATCTGAGTTAGCTGCTCGCCGGCAGGAGCAGAAGTCACATGGCATTGCTTTGTATTCCTCCTCTTTGTCTCACCCCTGCCTTCTCCCTGGACATTGTTTGTTTGCACAGAATGAGAGCTTGGCAAACACAGCCAAATGGACTGGGAGCTACCAGGATTTACTTCTGCTCTCTGTGCTCAGGTGCAAAGGCCACCTCTGCACCCTGCCACCTGTTCCTCCCTTGATTGACAACTGCAAGGCCATTGCAGTGACACTGGGCACAGTAGGACATGGCGGGGCTTCTGATAGCAGGTGAGGCTGGGGTCTTCACACCCTTGTGTCTCTCAGTTGACATGAGTTAGGCTCCGATCCTTACTCTGTTCCTTCTAGTTGTTCTGTTTGGGATTTAAATTAGAATTCTACAGGTACTCCGAGAGGGAAGAGGTCTCTGGAGAAGGAAGGGTTTGGCTCCTGAGTGTTTTCCTCATAGTTCCTGTCCCTGAAGTCCTGGGTGTAGTTCCTACTTGCTGTGGACACCTCCTGCTGCCTGGGTCCTCATATTGATCACCAATACTGTTTCACTGGCTGATTTCCTCCATTCTCTCTGATCATCGATGATATACATCCTCTAGATTAGAGAATAGAGTTTTAGGGTTGTGTTTTACTGTTTGGCACCTTTTTGGATAATATTTAAGCATTTCTGATGCAAAAGTGGAGGTTGAATTAGTTACACACACCAAAGTGTCTGCAGCCCATGTGCACGGTTGAAGGGGTTGCTATTTCCATCTTGATATTTTGTGATGTAAGCATGGAGTCAGGTACAAATTCAGACCAACAGTCATTAGGCATCATGCGTCACCTGGACATTGTCTGAAGTGACTATTTGCAGAATAATTAAGGCTTGCACATTTTAAAAGAATAAAAAAGATATATCTGAAGAGATTTAGAATTCCTCTGTTTTCTCAGATTGATTCTTATGCTTTTCTCCCCCCTCTAGGTTTCTGGCCTTTGGCATTTTAGTTGGAACTTTGATTATACAGACAAGGAGATTCTCTGGGCAGATGACTTTAGATGAAGAGAAGTTTGCAGTGGTTCAACATCATATTGATTCTCTGATGTGCCAAGGCTTCCGCAGGTCAAAGAGTAACATGAAGCTGAGGATGAATGTTCCTTGCCCTCAGGGAGTCTTAATAGAGGAGGCACAAGTGGCCTAACTAAAAAATAGCGAATTTAGGAAGGATCATTTTGAGCTGGTGCTTTGGGTGGGGAAGGACATATTTGTGAAGTATGGGTTTCTGTCAAGTGGTGGCCTCCTTTGTGCTCTTGGGGATTCAGCAGGGCACCCAGGAATGTGGTGCAGATTTAGAGCTTTGGAGAGATGCATGCTGTGTGCGTGGGGCACCTAAACCAGGTGAATGTGGAATTCAGCCTAACTTCTTGTGATCATGAGTTGTGATGTGTCACCTGGACTTGAGTAAGAGCTGCCTAGCAGGTTAGTAAAGCCCTGGTTGTGTCTGTGGATGATTGATGTGTAGGTTGCAAACTGTGGAGGGAAGACTTACCCTGGATGTGAGTGGCACCAACCAATGGACTTGAGTCCCAGATGGAATAAAAAGAGAAAAAAGAGAGAAGTCTGCCCTTTTTCTTTGGAGGAGCTCCAGGCTTCACCATCGTCTTTGGACATTTTTCTCTATTTCCCTTAGGCTTCCGGTGCAGACTCTTCAGCCTTCCAGTGCAGACCCTTCAGCTTTTAGACACCTCCTCACACCAGTCTGCAGTGAGCTGCAGGCCTTCAACCTTTGGCTGCATCCTCTGCCCAATGGGTAGAGAAGTTAAGCTGAATTCCATGTGCAGCTGGTCTGGATGTCCCAGTCCCTGGGGCTGTCAGATCAGAGGTGGAGGAATGCCGAGTGGCCATCTGCACACTGGGGTGCCAGAGGATCCTATAAGCCTACCTAGTAAATCCTTTGTACAACCACACATATATTTTATATTAAATCTGTTCCTCTAGTGAGCTCTAACACACTTCTCTACACATTGGCCTTCATTGAATCTTTGAACCCATCTATTGCAAAATGCACCCACCACTGTTCATGCACTTCTAAGAGAAAAGCAGCTCCAACTCAACGCTAACATAACTGTCAATTATGAAACTCCTCAGTTTTAGTGATGTTATAAAATATGAGTCTTGGAATCAGTAGAACTGTGCCTTAGAACAAGTTGACTTTACTACCTGACCACCTGTATCTAAAATACATGGTCTCAAGAGGAAGGGAATAAGGAGGAGGGGACAGGGTGTAAGGGGGACATGGGGGATGGATATGATCAAATAGATTTTATGCATTGAGACTCAATATGTTGTAAAATTAATAAGCACTAAGAAAATATACTGAAAAAACACATGGTCTCCTTTTAAGTAAAGAAAGCTATGAAGTTTGACCTTTAGGCGTGTGTCAGGGGATCCAGTAATGAGCTGATGGCCCTGTGGCTACCACGAAGAGAGGAAGGGAGGGAGGGTGGAAGAGAGAAAAGGAGGAGGAGGAGGAAGAGGAGGAGGAGGAGGAAGGGGTGAGGAGTGGGAAGAGGAAGAGGATGAGAAAGAGGAGGAGGAGGGAGGAAAGAAGAAAAGGAAGAAAAGAAAGGGTGATGTCTGGAAAAGAAAAGTTTATTCCTTCTCTGTGTGTGTAATTTTTTTTTGAAAAAGCTTTATTTTTAGAGTAATTTTAGGTTCACAGCAAGTGAGAGCAGGCCCAGTTTGCCCATGTACCCCCTGTGCCTACACAGATCCTCGCTCCTTATGTTATATCTGCTGAACTTGCACTGTACATTCTGTGGGTTTGGACATTTGTGTGGTGACAAGGGTCCCCATCTTGGCATCATACAGAGTAGTGCTCTCTGTTCATCCCTCCTCTCCCCAGCCCCTGGTAACCATGGGACCTTTTACCGTCTCCATGGTT